CGACCAACTCTTGATAGGGTTTTGAATAAACCAAGAAGATTATTTTGAAGTTATAGGCGGTGATGATCATGGCTAGCCAGAGAGACGACTGACGGGTTTTTTTTCCTTTCTACAAGATCCAATTCAATCAAATATAAAAGTTAGGTTTTATTATATAATTTTAATGAATAAAACTTAGCTTAGTGGAAGAGGCATGGTTTTCCATACTGTTGGACATGTTCAACACTTAGTAGGTACACATTTTCCCTTTTCTTTGTTTTTTGATTTGTGGTCAAAGAAAATCGGGTAACACCGGGCCTAAGGCCCTGACAGGCTGAAAACTTTGAAATATAACTTCATATTTTCGTAGAACAATAATTTAGTCCCTATTTTAATATTTAACAAAATATATTTTAAAAATAAACATTTTGGGGTGTGACAGTGTCCATCCCTAGTTCAGCTGCACCGACTCTAAGTGTTGAGATGCCTCCACTCTTTTTTAAACTTAAATGTCATTGTCACCAGCAACTTGCTAAAAGTATTTAGATGCCTCCGAACGTGGAGGTGCATATGCCCGCTAGTTGTAGAACCATTGAGTTGACTCAGCACCTACAAAAATATAAGTTACCTTTAAGGGCGTTGAGTTGCTTTACCTCACCTTACGATGATAGATCTGCCTAAGAAGTCAAGATGCCTCAGCTTTAACATCGAGATGCCTTCTCCCTATTTTTACCAGAACAAAGTTGCCTTAATTCTACCTGTCGTGACTGATAAGTGTTCAGATGCTTTCACATCTAGTGCAAGGAGTTTTCATTGACTGGGTATCCTCCTCTACCTGGCTTAATAGCATTGATATGTCTCACGCTCTTCTTATACTATAGGATACATTCTAAAACCTTCCGAAAGAGTTAAGAGTCTTTACTCTAATAAGTGTAGAGATGCCCTCACCCTAGAACCTTCGAGATGTCTCTAATCAACAAACTAATGTAGAGATGTCTCTCATTATTGTTGATATGGCTCAGGGTTACCTTCAAAGAATGATGAAATGTCTTCACTATGACATCAAGATGCCTTTTCACTGACAAAGGAATAGTTTGCCTTCCCTATTTGTTTTCACCACTGCAAAGTTTCCTTAATTTTTAAAATCCAAACTATATGAGGGTAATGAGATGCCAACTCTTTAGCCGAGAGTTTTGAGAAACCCATGCCCTATCTCTTGGTACAATAACTCTATCACCATTGTCAACGACTAACTAAAAAAGTTCAGAAGCATTTTTTCCCTTCATTGTGTCAAGATGGTGATATATTCTCCTACACGTCATCCTTTTCCAGATACACTACATGAAGAATCAAAATGTCATAGAAATGAATATACTTTCATTTGTAGCATTCTCCCCATTACATGATTAATACCTCCGTATCTAGCGTTCAGAGCCATTGCATAGAAAAACCTTTATACTAGGACATGACGAAGATTCATTCGCTTAGTCATATTGTTGAGGTCCTTCGCTAAGTAGCACATTATGGAGATACCTCTTCTTACATTTTACATTTATATCGAAGTTTCAAAATAACTCTGATTACAACTTTATCTTACGCGTCAAGATTTTTTACTATAAAATTTCTACAATAAAATCACCTTTTTGAGCATGAATAACTTTTGATATTAATATGAAGAAAATAAAATTTTATTCCGTACTTTTCGAAACATCAATTATAGCTTTACATTAAGCGTTGAGAACCTTCACTACCAACATAACATTGACAAATCTTTGGATGATATTTCATGAAGCATCAAAGATCTCTTAGAAACACTACAAGAAAATATACCTTTAATGACACACGAACAATGACACGCTAATTTATGACTTGCAAAACATGTGTGTCATAAAAAAATGCCATGTTTTTTAAAATCTGAATGATTTATGACTTACAATAATGTGTGTCATATTTAATGGTCATAATCCAAAAAATTTGCAAAAACACATAGTACACTTTTTAATTGTGTGTCATCTTTAGGAGTCATATTCTAATTTCCCCCATTACTTTCATCCTTTCCCACTTCTTCCCCGCCTAATGTTTTCCACTCCTTTCATTCTCTCCTTTTCTCTCCTACTTTTCATCCCGATTCTCTTCTTCTTGTTAGGCCTGAGTTTGAATCCCAGCCTCTGCCGCCCATTTCCGCCTCCGATGAACTCAACGATCTCCATCTCTTCCACCGCTCCACTGTCTCTCCCTCCACCTCATCCCACCTATCCTCCTCCTCCTCCCCTAAAATCGCTTTCCTTTTCTTGACCAACACCGACCTCCATTTCCTCCCCTTTGGAACCGTTTCTTTGGACACGCTAAAACTTCTCTTTTCAACGAGTACGTCCACGCCGACCCCATCGTCAACATGACTCAACCTCAACCCGGCACCGTTTTCGGCAACCGCTTCATCCCAAACGCCAAACGCACTTTCCGTGCATCGTTTTCCCCAGCTTTGTTTGGTATGTCCTAGCTAACTCATATTTTTGGTTTGGTTTCTTAGTGCTTCTTGTTTTGTTTGCTTTACTTTGTAATAAAGGGAAAAAAGGTTATTTAGGGATGCCAGTGATTGGGAATAATCTTGGATGAGTCAAAATTTACAAACTAATTTATGGACTGAAAATCAAATCTTTAGTTTATGATATTATGAGGTTTATGTAGCTACTGCAATTTTCAGCTTCTTTTTGCTAGAGGATAGGTGGGTTGACTTAGATAGTTGCTTGGTTGTTCATTTGTGGAAACCTTTTTGTTCAGTAACTACTAGTTGTTTTCCATGAAAAAATGACCCGACTTTCAAATAAAATCAGGTTCATAACATGAAATTCTTCTTCTTCTTATTTTTTAAAACTTTTCTGTCGTGTTATTTTATGAAACTAATTTTTTTTTATTCCAAATTATTCCTGCTGGTGTTTCTGATTATATTTGCACTGGAAAATACTGTCAAGTTGATGCTAAGCTGGGTTTTGATACTTACCATCAGCAATGGGTTCTGGAAACTTGTTGAAGATAATAATAAATATAGTTAAAGATGACGGTTCAAAGCAAGTAAAGGTCAGCTTCTAAAAGCTTAATCATAAACTAAGCAATGCAACTCTCTGTTTTTTCCAGTGATAAATGATTAGTTTGCATTTGAAACCTTTGGGTTTATATTATGCATGATCTAAAATTTTTGGAAGATTGTTTCTCCCACTAGAATGGTCTTTTTTTTTAAATCTTTTACAACTGGAAGTGTCATTGCCCATTATTCATTACCCCTTTCTTGATATCATTTGTTATCTGCAATTTATCATTCATCTGTTTCCTTTATTAAGGTGACCTTTTAATTGGTCTCATTCATTCGGCACATAGATCTTCATCTTGCACAAAATCCAATGGCTTTAAATGGATAGAAATGTGTGAACATGGTTGGTGTGGTATTTGGTTGTAGTGCATGTAGTGAATATATTATTTAATGTTTGATCATGATTTTAGTTAATAGTTTAAAATGAACTTTTCATCTTTGAAGTAGTCCATACTGGATTGCTTTGCACCTGTCAGTTAATAGTTTTCCTTATGTAGAATTTAAGTTTTTTGTATTATGTAACTTGGTTGTCGGCCATTTCTACAATTACCATATAATATTTCTTTTCTACATCATTTTCTAGAGGAAATCCTTAAAGCTTATCTAGCAGTTTTAAGAATGTGTATTGTTGTAACTGCAATTTGGAATAAGAAAGTTAATACCTGGAGATTGTTAAAGGTCATTAATCATTTTGATCAATAGGTTTATTCTCTATGTGCTCAAATCAAATCTCTTCTAATTAAGCTCATGGAATTGATCGTATTAGCAAAGTCTAGGTGCTAAAGAAAATATTATGCGCTTTTCGTTAGTTCCATCTGTATTCAGATATGGTTTTATATCATGCTTTGTTATCATGAATATTTAGCCACTTTTAATGTTATTGGTCCAGCTATCATTATTTCCATGTGTTTAATCACTTATTTTTATATATCTTTTGAACATGAGAAATGCAACATCTGAACTTTCATTTGCGTTTTGATGTATAATAATTATATTAAGTATGTATTATTAGACTATAATTGCAATTTCTGAGTCTTTAATTCTTTTGTAGTACACTCCTGCAATTGATATGTGGAGTATAGGATGCGTATTTGCTGAGATACTTACAGGAAAACCACTTTTTTCTGGAAAAAATGTGGTACACCAATTGGATCTCATGACCGATATGCTTGGCACTCCCCCTCCTGAATCTATATCAAGGGTTAGTTATCTTGTTTCTTATATTTCACTTGATTTATTTTCACTTCAACCCGACGCTGATTTCAAGCTTTGTTACTGAGATTCTAATTGAGAGATTCTAAGTTCATGTCTTTACCTTTTCTTATAAAGTATTTTCCATTTATTGCAGGTCATTTTGAATGGGAAGTATCTTGGCTTATGTCTTCACATGCTTGTCAACAATGTCACCCCTTCTCCTTATTTCTTAGATAAACTAAAACTGCCACGCGGTCTTGAGAGGAAGGGCCAAGTTCTTTTTCGGGTACACTTGGCTTTCAAAAATATAGTTGATTATGTCCCTCTTGCTCCCTTGAGATTATTGATCGTATTTCTGCAAGGAATGCCAACAATTTTTCACAAGGACCGAGTAAGTTGAATTTTCTCAGTAGGGAATTTAGATGTCCTTTTATCATCAAATTTTTATGCATTTTTCTATTCTGGTCAGAGTATATACCGTATTTAAAAGTCAATGTTGTTATGCTTTGTGCGTATTCATTCGATTCTAGTCCCCAAATAGAAGACAATGTAAGACATCATTCGATTTAGTTTTAGTGAAGTTCTTCAATGCAATTTCCTGAACAATTATATCATGCTTTTGTGCCTGCAACTGCATGTTTTTATTATTGAAACTTGTTAAGAACATTGAATCTGAAGCTTATCCACTTTTTCTATTAAGCCGTAAGAATCTAGCTGGAAACAACATTGTTGAACTGGTAGATAACATACTGGTTTTAACTTTTGAACATCTTGAATCTTGTGAAAGGGAAGGCCGCTTAGCTAAGGTATTTTGTGAAGTTAATCTTTCCATCTCCTCTTCATGTTGCATGCTTCTACCTGATCCATCCTTAAGTTAGTTTAATTGCTATATAGGTATTTGAAACACTTCTCTAGTCATTTCAGATAACAGTTCTGAGTGCCTACAAGTCAAAATTTGCTCAGGTAATACTTAGTTTCTTGAGATTCCTGTTCCTAATTCTTGGTGAACATCTGAGTACTATTTTTTTTTTTTGTTTTTTTATTTTCTTAATACAAGCAACAAGATCTGCATGACTTGCAAGTAATTCCGCTTTTTCTTTACCCTAATGTTTGCAGTTTGTTATATTTTATGCTTGCGCATTAGATCCTGAAAACGGTGGTATGAGATTTGCCACAATGCTGGTAGAATTATTTGTCCAATACTCACAGCCCCAACCAACCAGGTAAATTTTTATTATCTGAAAGCACTAATGAATATTAGACATCTTTTGTAGGCATATATTCCTTGAGTTCATGCTTCTTTGCCACAATTTGCACATTTGGAGGAGCATTATGGTAAAGGTGAAAGAAGTACTCCACTTCTAAGACATCATGCTTCTTTGCCTAGGTATGCTTCATAAAATTTTAGGAATCATGTTAGTTCCATAATTTCTCCCCCAAACTTAGTCTGTCTAGTTCATGTGTCATATTTCAATTTTCTTGAATACCGTCTTTACAGAGAGCGAGTTCCTGCTTCCAAGGATGAATGTAAGATGCTATTATTGGAAATTCATCTATGATAACATCTTGTCTATTCATATTAATAAGAATTGTCATGCTCTTTTTATTTCTGCTGAAAAACTCATAGTTGGATGCTATTCTAGACTTCTAGTTATCACCTTCTGGTTTGAATGTTCTTTTATTTTGATGATTCACGTTTCTGTATGGAGGTTATCGTTTGAGTACTAGACAATCGCCTTGACCCCTTGGCATTTTATGCAATTGTTATCGTAGCGAGTTCTAGTTGATGCAATTATTACTTTCACCTTCTTGTTGGATGCGAAATGGAGAAAAATGGGATTTTATTATGAATAAGACATATTGAAGCATTGTGAGTATGATGAATTTAGGAAACAAAAGAGAATTCATTTTGACACGAGGATTCATGGTGCCAAAGGTTAAAAAATTAGATCTCTATTGGGGAAAAACATAAGGTTGATTCAGTTGTTCATGCCATATATTTTTTTATTGAAAGCATATACATCGTTGATTTTCGCATCATATAGTGCATAATTTTATTATTCGTGGTGATATTGTTGTGAACAAAGTTGGTACTTTTTATAATGTTATTGATTTGATGACTTTGCATAATGTTATTATGCTTCAAAGAATGCAAATGTAAAATTGGTCATTTTAGTACTCTTTAATAGTTAATTATATACTTCACTTTAAATAATAATAAATTATATACTTATATCATATTTTTTACTTAGGTTGGCGATGGGAAGGAAGAATACACGGATGATGACATTGATGATATTCGCAAAGAATGTGTATCTTATGTGGCAAACTTTATTATGCTGTGATATTTTTTATCGACATATGATTAATACAATATTTTTGATAACTTAATGTGAATATATTTGTATGCAAATGGAATGCTTATATATAATATGATACATATATTTAGTATTATGAGGCATTAAATGTGATTTAGTTTGATTATTTGTCAATCTACAATATATATATATATATATATATATATAATTTACGAAATACAATCACGACACACGAATGTGTGTCGTCTTTTTTAATGACGTGTGCTTCAATGACACGCAATGTAAGTCATACATGCGTGTCATAAATTTATGACACACAAATGTATGTCAAGTAGATTTATGACGGGGGACGTTCAATGTAAGTCATACATGCGAGTCATAAATTTATGACACACAAATGTGTGTCATCTTTATATATGACGGGGGCTTCAATGACGCTCAATGAACGTCATAAATTCACGTCATAAATGTGTGTAATAAATGCGCGTCATAGATTTATGACACACAATTGTGTGTCATAAAAAATTCATGTCGGTGGCTTCATCGACAGACATTTGTGTGTCATCCGCACCCATAGATGACACACAATGCGCGTCATTAAAGGGGTTTTTTTTAGTAGTGAAAGATAACAAACACACCTCCTTATGACATATTATGGAGTATCAATAATACATTCGTATCTTTATTATGCATTAAGTTAAGATAACGTTAATCTTTTCATTATATTGTTTAAGTATTGAGAATCCTCTACGAGTAATATCCATGGGAGTAAAGATAACTCTGTTTGAATCTAAAATTTTAATATGAGTCTATATGAACATAAGAATCCTCTGCAACATAGGCGTCTACATATCTCCGTCCATTTAAAAAAACTAAACGCCTCATGAATACAAATAAGATTTAAATACTTGTTCAAAGAACTAAGCATAAAAGCGACAGTTGGCTCTACCTCTACCACCAATGTCTGGCTAAAAGAGTCAAGGTGCCTCTGCTACCCTTTGTAATATCGAGATACAAACCTCTTCCTCCTTATCCTCCACTTGAGATGTTGTTCTCAGTGAGAGAAGTCATCCTCTGTGTGAGGTGCTATCCTCTGCGTGAGATGTTATCCTCTACAAGAAATGTCACTCTCTGTAAGAGTCTCGATCCTCTGAATAAGTTTATGCCTCTGAAGATGTCTTTTAAAGATAATTTTGGAGAAGTCATAACTCTTATGCTAAACAAGGAATATTATTCTTCACTTTTGCAAGCATTGATATGTTCTGACCCCTTTATTAGCTTAAAGTCGCCTTTACTTATTGTCTAGACTTCTCTAGAATATGATGAATTACCTCATCTCTATTCACGTGAGTCAAGATGTCCCCGCTCCAGTAGTAGGAAATTACTCACTGCCATTATATAGAGTTGAGATGCAAATGTAACCTTTACAGTCCTATTGAGGGTTTAACACTTCATTTGAGTATGAGCGATTGAGATGACTTTGCCAACGCAAAGATGATGTTGTTTATCAACCAAGTTCTTCTAAAAAAGTAAATGAGCCACCTCTATCACAAGAATGAGAGTGTTGAGATGCCTTCACTATTGAATAAAACTAAAAGATGGTTGTTATATTTTTCACTATAAGTCTCGGATCGAGCCACTTTATGACATTCCTTCGATCAAGGGGAACAATATGTGATACCCCTCGAAGAAGACCATTTGAAAATTACTAAATCTCCGCTAATAAAGACCCATGCAATACTCCACCCACTATGAAAAGCTTCTAGAAGTTCCCTAAAGACGCCACACTATCTCTGAATCTGTCATCCAATGGGATCGCTCTCCGGAGTCCATACTCTTCAGTCATTGACATAGCCAAATCTGATAGTTGATAGTCATATTTATATAGTATGTTAACCTACTATCATGCATGATGACCTTATGTCTTACACTAAACGACAAAAGGTCAACATAAAAGCTCATTAGACAAACATGATAGGGTCTCTCCAGTTTCTTCTCCTTCTTCACTACCATCTCCCCTTTATGCTTTCATCTATCTCACAAACAAATATCGATCAGCAATTGTTATCTCACCATTTTAAACTTTCTGCCCAAATCAGAATGAATGAATCGCCAACGGCCGGCGAGATCAAATTGTTTCCATCAACAAATACATATATTATACTTAAGTGTGATGTATATATATATATATCAACTATATAAAAAATATAAAAAGATTATATATATCAAATATCTATTCATATTCAATGCTGATTTCTACCTAACTTAGTATCACTGCATTTACAATCCAAGGAAAACGAAAATTCTAGTGACAATATTTTTCTTCCTCTTATAATGCATAGGAGGTGGGTGAAGATGTATGTCTTGTCATTCATTGTCCACTCCATTTAGGGCTTTTCTGAACATCCATTGTGGTCCAAGTGCAATGGTCTCGTTGCTAAGAGTCAGAAGTTGGGGCCAATTGCCCTAGTGAAGTGTCATATTCAACAAAGGGACCTAGGCACTTAGCACAGCTCAATAACAGGTTTACATTGCTCTGATATTTTCTTTTAAAATAATTTTGTTTAATACTTATAGTCATTTTATACAAATATTGCAACATAAAGGTTTGATCTTTCAAATATATGTAAAATTTAGAAATGTTTTTGAACATATTATATACATTACAAAATCTGACACTTTACGCTTGAATTTGAATAACATAATAACACAGTGACTAGAACGTGGCATGGGGACAGAAACCACTCCCAAGAGCAATGATGAAAACTTTCGATTCTATGAAACATCATGTTATGGACTGTTGACGATTTGATGGCAATCTTAAATATAACTCAACCAGTAAGATATTAGAACAAGGAAAAAGATTCTATCCCATCAAGACTAAAATAACACCAATTATACCACTGTTTTAAGGGCATGTTGCCCTTGGGGACCCTGTGAAATTTTGCTCCAACTGTTCCTCACTTTCTGAAAATGCCATGGAAATTTTTCTTTTGCACCTTAAAGAACAGGTGTAGAGAAAATGCACAAATATTTATTTTGTATAACAATCATTTTACTGCTACTTCTGTTTATCAGAAATAAGAACAGAATACAAAAAAGCCAATGAACTTTAAGCCAAAAGCTCATTTAGGTGATAAAAGAACTATATTTTGACTCTGCCATCTCAATTATAGTTGGGAACTTACAGTCTCAAATGACATCCCCAATTCACAAATTGGTATGGTGGAGGATTTCAGTGTCCCTTTCTATCCAACGACACTCTTTATTCTTTGGTCCTCTTTGTCAGAGTCCTTATCAAGTTGATCCCATTTACCTTGCTTCCCATGTGGCACACATTGGCCTTGCTGGACCTCCTCCCCATGTTGAGCTGGAATAAGTGACCAATCCGCTTTCGCCACCTAAGCGAGGCACATGGTTTCACATGCTCTTGTTGGTCACCTTTGGTTCATCGATGAGCTCCTTTGTCAAGGTGGGGTTCCAGGGCTTGCTGCAATGCTCAATTGAGACCTTAGAATAAACATCCCCGTTTTCCCATGAAACACCACCATTCTCTTCAAACTTGATTGAGATGAAAGAGTCTGCCAAAAATATAAATGGTAATGACTTACCTGTTTGACACTTATGTCTAGCTCACATTCGATAAAGTATATGTATTCAAGTACATCCTCAAATATGGTCAGATACATCAAGGGTGGGAGCAAAGTACAAACTAAAGCAAGGTCCATCTTATAGCCTCAAAAATGAAAATGTAACAGGAATAGACTTGATTAGCAGGAATTGACATTAAAGGGGTGCCTCTAAGGATTCGGATTTAGATGAATTTTGTATGATCTTTGATGTCTTTATTGTTTTTGTTATTAATAGGGAGTTGAATGATTAGCGTAATTCCGACGAATAAATGGTAAATATTGATTTGATTTGATTACATCTTGAATAATACAAGAAAGTTCTCAAAGGTTTCTGTTTGCAATTTGCATGACGTACCAAGTTTTATGTAGCAACTCCAGATACATGTCAGAAGCAAAAGCCAATTGACATAAATCTAAAGAATTGAAATGCCTTGGAAAATCATAGTATTTTTCAAAGACATCCTTGACAAACATATCTTTGAATCAATAATAAACGGAAAAGGAACTCGCACAGAGGCATACATGCATGCATGTGATACACGTCATTTTCATCTTATGTTTTGATGTATTTTTCTTTTACTTATGGAAATTAAAGTAAAACATCAGAGAAAAAGACATGAAGAGAAAAGGTAGAAAGGGTAATAATAATAATCATACCTTCTTCACCGCAGCTGGTTGAAACATAAAAATCATCAGAAATTTCACGTTTCCAATGCTTGAACTCGAAACGATTGAGAAATGAGCCAAAAGAAAAGATCTTTGGAAACTTGGTGAAGGGTAGTTTCTTCAATGGAAAATCTTGAATAATTCCATGGATGCCTTCACTAGACGATGAAGAGAGTTGGGCTTGCTTTGAAGCTAGAAGAAGCCTCTCGTTTAAGCACAAAGGGCAAACCCCAATAACATCTTTAGGATGGAAATAGCAACTGTAATTGCCTTCCTTGTACCCATTCATGGCAATTTGGTGCCGTCAGTAGCCAGTAATGTAAAGAATAGAGAGAGGAATCTGAACTGTCTTAAAAGATGGCGGTACATGTTAGCTTATAGTGAGGAGAATTTAAGTCAGATCGTTTTTAGAGGTATCAAACTAGTGGGGTCGATTCATTTACAGCGTTCTAGTTTGATAAAGCCACAAAGAAAATAAAGGGCCTAAAAGCCCATAACAAAAAGAGGGCTTTCATCGACCCTCACGAACATAGAGATCTATTGAAGATTGCCCCTTTTCCTATATCAACCATTCATACTGCCAAATGACTGATGGCATATTTACGTTCATTTGTTAAATTTTAATGGATAAAACACGAATAATTAAATCAATGAAAATTTCTATTTGTATTTGTTTGTTAAGAATGTAGCTTGTTCGCATTTATTCATATTTGTTCGAACAAATGATAAACAAATCTATCCGTACTAGGATAAAATGAGCTGATTTAGTCAACCTATCCATAATAACCCTACTGCATCATGTCTCTGTCTAGTAATTGGTAACCAATTACTAATCCATAGTCACTCTATCCTACTTTCATTGCATAATCTGAATTGGTTGGAGCAATCCCGAAGGATCCTGATGTTCCCCTTAAACTTGTTGGCATACCTATCACTTCGTCACGAACTTGGGCGCTTCCCTTTTCATACCCGGCCACCAATACAATAGTCAAAACTCTAGATACATCTTGTTACTTCCTAGATGAACTGATAGCGGACTATAATGGACTTCATGGAGAATTTTACTACATAATTGATCATCTGTGGGTACGCACAAATGACCTCTAAAGAATAGTACATCCCCATCACGTAACTCGAAACCAATAGCCTCACCTCGGTGGAGTTGCTCTACATGAGCCCTTTGGCGGTCGTTTTCACCTTGCAACCTTTTGACTTCCCTCACTAACTCAGGTTTTACCCAAAGTTCGATCAGCAGCCCACCATTACCCAACAACCTCAAGCGTGCTAAAAAAGCGTTCAATTCTGACATTGAAATCTTGCTCAGTGCATATGCCACCACGTTTGCTTTCCCTGGGTAATAGTCGATCACACAGTTTTAGTCCTTAAGCAATTCGACCCATCTACACTGCCTCAAGTTCAACTCCTTCTAAGTGAGAAGATACTTAAGGCTCTTGTGGTCAATGAGGATATGACACTTTTGTCCAAACAGGTGGTGTATTCACATCTAAGTGCAAAAACTATTGTTGCAAGCTCTAAATCGTGGGTGGAATAATTACATTCGTGCGACTTGAGTTGATGGGATGCGTAAGCTACTACATTTCCTTCTTACATAAGTACGCACCCAAGGCCATTCAGCGAGGCATCTCTAAATACTATGAATTCATTGCCTTATTCTGGTTGGGTTAATACGGAATCTTGGGTTAAAATGATCTTAAACTATTCAAAACTTTTTTAACGTTTTTCATCCCACACAAATAGAAATCCCTTCTGAAGTAGCTTAGTCATCGGAGTGGCTATCATTGAAAAACCTTTTACGAACTGATGGTAGTATCTCGCAAGACCTAAGAAGCTACAAACTTCTGTCACATTCTTCGATGGTTTCTACTCTAACTCTACTTGGATCTTCTGAAGGTCAACCTAGATGTTATCTGCTGCCACCACATAACCCAAGAAGGATACATAAGATAACCAAAACTCATATTTCCAAACTTAGCAAACAACTGAATCTCATAGTGTCTACAAAACTATGTGAAAGTGTCGATCATTATCTTCCTCTAATCGCGAGTACATGAGGATGTCATCTATAAAGACCAACACAAACTGGTCTAGGTATGGGTGGAAGACTTGATTCATCAAGTCCATGAATGCCACTGGGCCGTCTGTGAGTCCAAACGATATCACAAACAACTCATAATGACCACACCTCATCCTAAACATTATCTTCGCTATGTCAACGTCCTTAACCTTCAGTTGGTGATACCTAGAAATTAGGTCAATCTTGGAGAATATACACACTCCATTAAGCTAGTCGAATAGGTCATCTATTCTAGGGAAAGGATAATTGTTCCTGATAGTTAACTTGTTTAGCTGACGGTATTCGATACGCAACCTCATCGATCGTCTTTCTTTTTCACAAAAAGAACTGGTGCTCCCTATGGGAATATGCTATGTCGAACGAAGCCTTTCTCAAATAATTCTTGGAGTTGGACCTTTAACTCTTTGAGCTCTGTCAATGCCATTCGATAGGGAGTAATGGACACCAGAGCGTAACCCAAGAACATCTCAATGCTAAATTCTAACTCTCAGTCAGGGGGTAAACCTGAGAATTCCTCAGGGAACAAGCCTGGAAAATCTCTAACAGTTCAAATATCTCCAATCATTAAACTGGCAACCCGAATATTGACTATAATAGCCAATAAAGCTTCACAACCCCTTTCGATCATCCTTTGAGCCTTAATTACCGAAACCATTCTTGAGCACCCAAGTTTCTCGCCAATTATCACTACATTTGTCCCATCATCCTTCCTAATCTTTAGTTGTCTGGCTTTACACCTCAAACTAGCATTGTACTCTTAAATTCAATCTATTCCCAAGATCATATCAATCTCTCTTAACATTAACTCCATTAGATCAGTGTGGAAAATCTAACCCTATATTTCAATTGTACAACGGTAGTGGATCTTGTCGATAATAATATCTAACCCTAGAGGACTAGACACTCTGACTCTTATCTCTATGTCCTCGGCTGAAAGGTTTCTCTCTTGGACTAAGTCATAACATATGTAGGAGTTTGTGGATATTAGATCTACTAATATTGTAATTGGAATAGAAAACATGGTAAAATTACCTGAAATTATATCAACTGCATCACACTCCTCTTGAACTCGGACCTCATATTGGTGGGAGGTTACCCGAGGCTCTAATTCGGCCACCGATTTACCAGGGTCTCTACTGTGCTATCCAGATATAAAACTTCTACCTCTTGAGGGTTCTTAGACTCTTTGAATTGAATTAACTATCCTCTAGGTCAGTAATATGGTCACACTTTGTGCCTCTGGACAATCTCGGATAAAGTTGTCTAGTAGCCATAGCCGAAACACCCTCTAGTCCCGAAATAGCATGCTCCAAGGTTCTTCTTCCCATAGGTCTGACAGGCTGAGAATGGTGTTTGCATTGATCCACTGGTACTCACCACTAACGCTTTCACGGTCTGAGCTTTGAGTCAGTCTTTTAGACTAGCTTGTTAGGGTCTTCAACGAACCATGAGAATCCCTAGTCCTTTTAGTCGGCACCTAGGTGGGTCTCGAGGTCTTTGTTGTCCTCTAAACCTGTCCTAAAGCAATAGTGGAAGGTTTAGACCTCATGTATAACACTCTCTCGATCGTCTTCACGTGATGAGTCAAGTTGATGATGATCCTAGGTGGGTTAGTAGCCAGGTGGATAAGAATGTCGATGTGGAAGCCCTCACTAAACCTCCTACAGTGGTGGTGCCCAGATTCCAGCAACTCCTTTACATAACAACTCAGTCAAAAGAACTCTCTCACATACTCCATCACTGATCTATCTCCTTGGGTCAGGTGAAGGATATGATCTCTCAAATCTCTATATAAGCCTCTTTAATATATTTTTTACAAAACTCTTATAAGAAATGTTCCCACATCTGTCTCTCATGCTCCATAGCCAACTCAATTGTCTCCCACCAATCTATGGCGTCACCCTTCAAGAAGAAGGTGGCACACTCCAAATTACCCTCGAGGTCAAGTGCAACTGTCGGAGTGTGCGGAGGCTCTCTTTAAGCCACTACTCCTCCGTGATGGGATCATCGTCCCTTAACCTAAAGAAGTCGATCATCTTATACTTAAATAGTCGCTCGACTAGAGACTCGTAAGGTGCTGCTACTAGAGGGGCTGGCGGTACAAGTAGAAGAGGTGGTATGGTTAGAGTCCTAGGAATGGCCCTCACTATATGCCTCATGGTCATCTTCATGTCTCAAAATAAGGTCACCTTGTCGACCCTAATATCTCTCGGAATCTTGAATCAGAGTCCAAGATGAATTCATCTCTAGAGTAACCTGCTGAGGAGGCACAACTCTACTCTATACCCTCATGACTAAAGCCTAAGCCATCATCCATAATTATTCTATGAAATAATTAGGAAAAAATGGGATCATTAATGTTATTCTAAACACAAAAGTACATCTCAATACTCAAGGGGCATGTATACATATAAACCTTTACAAACTCTAACCAACGGGTCCTAGAAATGACTAAACCTGACACTCTGATACCACTAAATGTAACGTCTTAATCCACTACAATCCGAATATCGAAAGATTAGTATGCTACACGGGAACACCGAAGTGATTAACCCAAAATTTTTTATTTTTAAAACAATTAAATCATCCATAATAATAATAATAATATAAAAATCATAGTATTTGATTTACAAAATTCAGAAGCCCCCAAAATACATTCCAATCAAATTTAACAATAATCCCAAAATACAATTATGAATCTAATACCAAAATAGGTTCATATACATTACATGCCTTCAAATGAATATACTCAAGACGTACTCAAATGTTGGTGTCGATCTAGAAGACGGTCTATGCGATGGCTCCTCTAACGCTCCTCCTACAATTGTACGTACAGAAACAAATTTGAACGATAAGCTCACAAGCTCAGTGCCTAATTAATAACCAGACTATACTTTATGCCTCATTTACACGCACATGCTAGTAAACGTAAATATTAGTTTTCGAAGATGCTAAGCTAAACATATATAAAGAGGTAGGCATCACGGTGTGGTCGGAGGGTTTTGTTACATCTCAGAGACTCATACCCCTAGCCTATGTAGGGTGAGATATAGAATTTCTACATCGAAAATGTTAACCCAACCAACTCCTTGTGAATACTTAAGGCTTCTACGCCCAATCGGTAAAGAAGTTCCTTGTGCACTAATAGAGATTTGTGCACTAATAAGAACACTCTCGGTGGATGGAAACTGTTA